TTTGTTATTTGTAAAAAATGTAAGCATTTACAACTGTCAAGTCCAAAAGTTGAAAAACAGTTTTTTATACCATTTTATTGTCCTTCATGCAGTAGAGTAGTAACTTGAGTTTTGGCCATTTAGGTCCACTCCTTCCATAAACTTTTTGTATTCCACAATTAACTGAGATTTTGTAACTTCAGCATCCCTCCCTCTTCTTGTTACAGTTGTCATAGTACTAGAGTGTAAAGTTGAAAGTGCATAAATGCCTCGTTTGTCTCTCCACTTTACAGCTGTCAGAGTTCCACATTTAAAAAATTGTGCTTCTCCTCTGTGGATTTGTAGAAACCAGTTGCTGTGGGAAATACAGTCTGTCTTTCCTGCCTGTCTCACAAGCATAGGTTCCCAAAGTCAGTAGTCTGTCAAATAAATGAGGGGAAGTGTAAATTCTATGTTATGTATAACCAATAGAAAGCCAAGATTTTCATCTATCAAATGGCGTATTATATTACATTGTTTTTTGAATGGAGAATTGTCACTTTCTCTGTTAGTACAAGCTTCGTTCCCATGGGAAAAACAACAACTAGCTTGGATGAATTTGTAATGGTTCTTATCACATAGTTAGTAAGCCAGGAAAATTGTGATAGTTAGGGGAGATTGTCTGCTTTTTTGTATGTTATTATTCTATGTTCTATGGTGCATAATTTAATTAAATAGAAATTATTTAGTGAATTACTACCATTAGTATAAAAAAGTAGGATTAAGTGTCATCGACAGCAAAAAGAATACCCAGGTAAGTACTTTATTTCTTATTAGGTAAAATGTATTTAGGAGGTTTTAGAGATATGAAATTTGAGATTTTTGAGATGAAGAAGAGTATTTTTAATCTTAACATGAAAATCACTTTGCACTAAAACTAGTAAAATAAATACTATATATTCACAGACAAATCCTTTTATGTTTATTAAAAAACCAAAGTGGGTTCCTTGTCATTGAATTTGAATTCATCAGGGAAGATTACATCAGAAAAGATAGATGTGTTGGAAATTTGGTTCAACTTCTACAAGGATTTGTACCGGTCAACAGTCACTGACCAGACAAACACAGTAAAAACAAGTCCAGACACAGAGCAAGTACCACCAATAACAGAGCATGAAGTGGAAAGAGCAATGAAACAAATGAAGAAGAGAAAAGCACCAGGGATAGATGGGTAATGAGTGACATACTAATACTAGGTGGCAAGCAAGTACTGAGTAATTTAACCAGAATATATAATGAAATACTACTACCAATAAAAGTACCACCTAGCTGGAAAGAAGCGAAGATGATTATTCTTTCCACGAAGGGCGACCCCAAAGAATTAAACCTATCAGTCTACTGTCAAATATGTAAGAAATATTTACATGAGTTCTTCAAGCCAGAATAGAAAAGATATTATACAAGAATCAACCAAGAAAACAAGCCAGCTTTAGAAAAGGGTTCTCTACTGTTGACCACTGACATACGTTAAATCAGATTATCGAAAAATCAAATGAATTCTGTCTATCACTTTGCATCGGATACATTAACTAAGGAGAGGCATGTGACTCGGTCAAGCACTATGCCATTCCTGAAGCTCTGCGAAAAGGTGGAATAAATGAAGTATATATAAACATTCTTGAAGACGTCTACACTGATACAACAGCAAGAATCCACTTGGATAATCATGTGTCACACGATTTTTTGATTGGTAGACATGTAAGACAAGGAGACCCTATATCACCTAAGCTAATTACAGCAACATTACAGAAAGTTTTTAAATCATAAAAGTTAGAGGAATATAGCATCAATATAGATGGAGAAGAACTAACAGACCTCAGGTTTGCAGAAGATGTGGCTTTATTTATGGAGAACATACAACAGATAGAATATCAATTCCTCACACTGAGTGAAGAAAGTGCAATAATTTGGCTTTAAAATACATAAGGAAAAACAAAGTTTATGACAAACTTTACTACTCCCTCACATTTGGAGGTTCTCTTCCTTTCTTTTTTTGGTCATGCCCAGCCTTCTCCACTTTGGCTCCAAGATATCGAGTGGGCAGTTATGTTTGCCATCCCTTCTCCTTCTCTGAATGTTTGTGAGGTTCTCTGTTTTGGGTTGTAGTCTTCCCTAGAAGTGATCCTTCCCTTGGATTTGGCACACATGCATTCCCTTCATTGGATATTTCTCAATCAATGAAGCTTTCCTCATGATACCTTGGTCCATCCCATTTTCCTTGATTCTCCAGAGTTTTGGGGTCAGTGGTTAGTCGAGTAGGCTATTCTCCATATCAACATCCTGTAACCTTGACAGTTCACAGGCTCTGTATCCTTTCCTCCCTTTCCTGCAGGGGAGGGTGGTTTATGGTTCATTCTGACAATTCCACTATTGTCAGCTTTATCACCAAGGAACCACGTACCACTCTCTGTTCAGTCTCTGGATTCCATGTACTAGTCAGATAATCTTGACAGGACTATTCTGGTGTGTCATGTTCCCTGCATTCTGATTCTTGTGGCTGATCTCTTATTGTACTCCCTCCAGGTTCACCACAGTGTGGTCTCTTCATCCTCACGTTTTTCTGTGGGTGTGTTCTCAGCAGGGAACACTGAATATCTGTATGTGTTTCCCATTCCTTTTTGTGTTCCATTCCTCATCCTTGAGCTGTGGAGATAGATGGTTTCAGTCAAGATTGGAGGGGCTTTCACCTCTATGCCTCCCCTCCGATCTGACCTTTTGGAAATAAATTTTGAGTATTAGAAAATTTTAACATTTGCTCACCACATTCACAGTCCGGGCCTTAGTTTCCATTCCTTTCTGAATATTTGGCTTCTTTTCACTTTTACTTGATAAGCCTCAACTACAGGTACATCTCTTCTCCTCTGAGAGGCTATCCATTGTGGATGTGTGTTTTTTTCTTGTTTTTTCCTGACTTGGACTATAGTTGATTCACTTTGGAGTAATTGATTTTGCTGTAAGTAATTTGTTTCTTATCTGGGTTATTAAAAGAATTAATTAACACAGGATCTCTTCTTCAACCAGAGGCAAAGTAGTGTCTTTGGTTGGCAGTGCAAGAAATAAGAAATTCAGGTAATTGTTTTTTGGAGGTGTCACATACATTGTTGGAAAGTCTGGAACCTGCTGTATTCAAATATGCAATCCATATGATGGTAATATATTTCAATTAGAAGTTATGAGCAGTGAAAAAGAAACAAGGTTTCGGAGTGGAAGTACCACCTTACAAGCAAGTCACACACATGGATAGATTTCTTTTTCGATTTTCAAATCAATCTATGCAACCTTTTTTCATTGTCATTTTGTGGTTAGAGACCTTACTCTTGATCTTTTGATATAGCAGAAGGCTATTACTGCTATCACTGCTATACTTGTCTGTACCAAACTTATTTTTGAGTGCCACCACAACATCTTTGGGCTTGATAGATGGACTTGCCACAACAAGGGCTGTCAAAAGTCCACTGTGATCACATCCATAGTGGCTGCACAGGTTGCAGTTTACACATGCAGGTAAATGAGGGAATATTGGGGATTGATGATGATGATGTGCTGAAGAGTAGCAAAATTCCATTCGGAGTTAGCATGGCTTGAAGCTATCTGCTGCAGACCTGTTGGGTTCTGGTCTGAAAAACAGATACAATGTATGACAGTCATAAAAGAAGAAAACTTGCGTAGCGGTCCTGTTAATCACACAAAAATAGTACTGTCACTAACAATGGGGTTTCTGCTGATGAGGTAGCCAGTCATAACTTGGTGAATTTTTGTCCAATTTGGAAACTGTAAATGTAATCTTCATATCCAATTGCTTGCTACATCCTATGTAAGTTCTTAATCAAATATCTGTTAAATCCCATATTTTGTATGTCTGATTCATGCCATTAAGGTGCCTCTGATTGATGGAAAGATCCTATGTTAGATTAAAAAAATAATCATCAGTAAATGTTCAAACCTCAATTTTCACCATTTCAAAATTAGATACAGCAAATTTAACTAATGTATAGCTTTTTTCTATCATTAAGTTTGTAAATTAAGATTTTTTATAATTTTACTTTGGTTACATTAAATGAAATCATACTGTTCACTTACCTTCTTTTCCAGGTCATTTAAAAGATCAGAGTTAAAATTCCTAAGTGTAATAACTGGTAATTGTTCTTTATTTAATATAAGTAATATGTTTTTTATATTTTTCCATAAATATTCTTAAATCACCTTCAGGTAACCTATAGAGACAGTATAAATTAAAATCTTTAATTTCTGATGTTGCAATTCAGTGTCATCATTCGTAATCGGTGAACTTAGGCTTTGACGCCTCCATCTTTTCTGCTTTGCCTATTTGAAAAAAATGTTTATTGAATATTATATAATTTCTGAACCCAGTTTCTATAAATACCAAATAAGTAAAATAAAGTTTTATACACTATAATTTCTGTAAAATTTCATGCATATTCTTTCTCAGACCGCTTACATTTTTGTAATGTATTTGCATTCCTGCAAAATTTCCAGTTTTCTTTTCATTTTGATCAATTTCAATATAATTGACCTTATTATTAAAATATAAATGTAAGTTGTTGTAGCTACTTAGATTATTGACCATCAACAAACATAGAATACATTGCTACAATATTTTGAGATCATTTTCGTTTATAATGTCTATAATACATTCATAATTCCTCTTTTCCTAAAAAAGCTCCACCATTCTTACCCAATAAGAATTTGTAATTGTTTCCCCTGTAATTTACCTTGCCTCATGAAATATTTAAAAAAATTGTGATAAATGCTAATTTATGTATATATTTTGTTCTTCATTAACAATACCTGTTTCATTCATTCATTCATTGTTAATTTCTTTTTTTTCATACGTTGGGGTAATTTTTCATGAAGAGGCTTGTTGCTGAATCTTACTATTATAAGTCTTGAGTTAATAGAAAGTACAAGTAAGAAATCTCATGTTATTAATTTTACATGACACTAATCTATGTAATTGATGCTCATAGGTAGTTGATCAATTGAGTTTAAATTTCTCAGCAATCAGCAAAATAAAGTATAAAAATAATGAACATCAGACATGTCATTGCGTTTGTTGACTCGCATTCAAAATTTTATTGAATTACTATATCATGAATTTATGTCAATAAGTTTGGTATCAAACTGTAGATTATAATTCAAATTTTCGTATTATACCATACTCAATTTCTTAATGTAAAAGTAAATATTAAAAAAACACAGTTAAACATCGATTTTTTGTGTCACATGGTATGTTGAATGCAACACTAGTTCAAATTAGTTGTTTGTGATGTCAAAATACTAAGTCTATAGTTTTGTCCAAATTAGGAACTCAAATTACTGATATTGACGAGCTAGAATATAAAATAAGAGCATCTTATCTTTTCAATTTGCTAAGATATTGCTCATGTAATAAATCAAATGCAGTGGCACCCCACCCAGCTATTTCAGTTTTTGGAAATGCTCCCTTATATACACTTAATTCTATGTATGACATGAATAACTAATCGAAAGCTCAGAATGTCCCCCTATGTTCTCAGCCATTTTAACATGTTTGGATGCCATCTCTAATTTCGTCTTTTTTATACCCAAATACAGCTTAGTTACTAAGCTTGATAAATTATAGTGGAATTCTGTGGTATTGATATAGTAATATATGATTATTGGTTATTCAACTGTATATATAAAACCTAAAAAAATTACTTTGTTTCATATCCTCCACGTGGAAAATTTTGAAAGGCTTATAACAATCTATATCAAGCAGCAACCGAGTACAAAGGTTGTAACTAGAAGAGATAATTGTTTGATTTACTTCTTTAGTTACTGTTCTATGTTTTAAGAAAAGTAAGTTTATGAACTTATTTCTAAATAGCAATAATTTATATAC